TTTTCATTGGTTTGTGCACCCTCTCTTGTTGTCATAATTAGCTAGTGTCACATAATAGATCCAAAATTTTACACCTGTCACCAGAGAGATGGTGAGGGGGGATTATTTCAATGGGAGCACCTGTTTTAGTGACAGCTGTCTAATTTAGGGGCAGCACAGTGGCTAAATGGTTAGCACTTCCACCTGGCAGTACTAGGGTCTTTGGTTCAAATCCCAACTGCAGCACCACCTGCCTGGAGTTTGCATGTTCTCCCTGTGCCTGTATGGGTTTCCTCCAGGTACCCCGGTCTCCTCCCACAATCCAAAGATATGCTGGTAGGTTAATTGGACCCAGTCTAAATTGGCCCTAGTATGTGTATGTATGAATGTGAGTTAGGGACCTTAGATTGTACGCCCCTTGAGGGTTAGGGACTGATGTGAATGTACAATATATATGTAAAGCACTGCGTAAGTTGACAGCACTACATAAGTACCTGAAATAAATAAATAAAAGGGAAATTCATCTAGAGAAATTCATCACACTAAGAGATTTCTGTTTACTTCCTGTTCTGTCTCTGAGACAGGACGTAAAGGGAAATCTCCCCAATAGGACACAAAAAAAAGAAAGAGGACCAACCCATTCTGGATTTAGATATACTTTACAAGAGGTAGTTATTTACAGTATCTAGTAAATGATATATTGAAAAAACAGCAATTCCATGTCATGGAGCAAAACACTTCAATATGCACTGACCAAATTATGGGACAGTCCACACACGTCCTTCAAGTGTAAGCTCCATAACATACCCAGAGCAGGGGCAGACTGACAACTTATGGGGCCCCTGTGTCCTCGCCCAAACTCAAAAAAGCCTATGAAAAAGGTACCAGGGGCATCTCAAGGGGCCCCCTACTGACCCCGGGCCCTCGAGCAGTGCCCGAGTTTCCAAATAGTCAGTCCGCCCCTGACCCAGAGAATAAAGTATAAGCATAATCTCAAACCCTACCATCCTCCACCCTATACCCTCTTCCTTATTATTTAAATAGTGTAAATATTTCCAGCTTCAAGTATATGTAAACCCAAAATAAAAATGAAAGGCACAACATTTGTGTGTACATATCTATAAAAAAAATATTAATACCTTTTTTTATATTGTAAGTGAACACAAGCTCTGTTCTCAGCTGCACAGGGGCTTGGAAAACTGGGGGTGGAGCAGTGTTTCTCAACTCCAGTCCTTATGGACCCCCAACAGGTCATGTTTTCAGGATTTCCATTCATTTTGCACAGGTGATTTGATCAGTTTCACTGCCTTAGTAATTACCACAGCTGTTTCATCTGAGGGAAATCCTGAAAACATGACCTGTTGGGGGTCCATGAGGACTGGAGTTGAGAAACACTGGGGTGGAGAAACAGCAGTACATTGACCTTCACAGTGAATAGCTGTGCAGGTGGGTGTGTCAGCACAAGTCTTGGTCATTGGAGGACAAGCAGGCTGTTTTCCGGCACAGCCAGAAAACTGACTACTCTGGGATTGGGTTGCTTCTATGACTAGTGTGGTCACTTTAAAATAGCAAAACAGAGGGACTGGCAGGGTCACCAGGTATTGCACAAAATGGAAGCAATACAAAAAAAAACAGGATACTTTTTAACCACTTCAAGTCCAGACACTTTCACCCACTTCCTTCACAGGCCAATTTTCAGCTTTCAGTGCTCTCCCACACAAGACAGATAGAACTTTCTTTATGGGGGTATTAATTTTGACATTGTTTTTCTTATAAATTTAGCAAATAATCTTTCTTCATAAATCTTGGCCAAAATGTATTCTGCTACCTTTTTGGTAAACAAAATAACCTAAATTAGTATATAAAAAAATAATTATCATTTTTCAAAAACTTTTTTTTACATTTTTATTTATTTTTTTTTATATTTATTTCCTTTTTTTTGTACATACTGTCACCCTAGCAGTTTTTTTTTACACTGTGATTGCTTTTACACCCATAAAGGCTGTAAAAGCAATAATTTCTCCTTCTCTTTCGCTGCATTCCTGCAGTTATTGAGAAATACTGTGAAAGCTGTGATTGGTCACAGCTTATCACATGATACAAGGCTGTTATGAATGGCCTTATACCATGTGACCTCTGTTGTGATCATTCACAGAATTCACAAGTTGTAAACAATGATGTCAGACAGTGACATCTTGTTTACTACTGTTCATGTGATCACTGATTCGCCAATCAGTGATCATATGAATCGGGACCTCACACAGCGGCCTCGAACAGTGGTCGGCATTCCACTGTGTCACAGTAGGCACAGATCACAGCGCTGCACGCCCCCAGGGAGTGAGCACATGCAGTGGATGCAGGGCGACGTTTTGAAACATCCACCCACATCGGCAATGCTCCCATCCGGCCCATGACTATAACAGGTTAACACAAGTACATGGTACATATCAGGAATATGAAATGTTGGGGTAACCTATTCTTTCACTTGTAACAACTAGTGGTGCACTGAAATGAAAATTCTGGTGCCGAAACTGAAAATTCAGGATGCACTTGGCCAAAAACTGAAACCGAAATGGACGGTTTTTAAAAATTAATACATATTTTTTGGAAAAAAATACACTTTTATGATTAAAACAAATCACAATATATACAAATTTTTTTTTGTAAAATATGAAAGATGATACAGCGAGTAAATAGATATCCAACATGTCATGCCTTAAAACTGCACACGCTCGTGGAATGGCATCAAACTACGGTACTTAAAAATTTCCATGGGTGATGCTTTAAACAGTTCTACAGGTTACCAGTGTAAAGTTACAGAGTTACTAGTGCTAGAATTATTGCTCTTGCTCTGACGCTCATGGTGATACCTCATGTGTGGCTTGAACGCCGTTCACCACTACATGCAAGCACGGGGGGGACGGAGGGCACTTCAAACTTTTTTTTTTTTTACATTTATTTATTTATTTTTTACACTGTCCCTTTACATTTTTTTTAAATCAGTTTTATTCCTATCACCAGGAATGCATGCATCCCCTGTGATAGAAATAGTTAGTGACAGGTCTTAATGCAGAGATATGGGGCCAATAAGACCCCACACATCTCTCCAAAGTAAAGCATTAGATCAAAAAAAGCATTGATCTAGTCTAGTGCTTTTAAAAAAAAAAATTGCCTTGTTTACAAAGCCCCAGAACCGAAAGTGACATTGCTCCGTTCCTCCAAGGGCATAGAGATGAGTGGAGGCCCACTTTCCTCCACTTATCTCTATGTCCAGTGCTGGGATAAAGCTGAGAACCACCGAGCGACGGTGGGTGGTGGCAGCAGCGGGCAGGAGGTGGAGGGCGAACGTGGTGAGGGGTGGCAGCGGCGAGGGGGCGGTTTTTTTTTTTTTACACCTGTACCGATGCTTATTTTCATGTCGGCCAATGGCCGATAGGGGTGTTTTTGGCCAAAAAATTTCAGCCACCGAAATTTCGGTGCACACCTAATGACAACCATAATTTATAGAGGTGAGTTACAAAGACTACCAAGACCTGGAAATAATATTTATGTTTGAATAATTCTTTTGTATCCAATATTTGATTATTTCATTTTCAGTAAAAAAAAAAAAAAAAAGAGAAATATGTGATATGTGCCCTCGTTATCTGCTTGCAGCCTTGGTTAGATCAAAGTGTGCCGCTGTCTCATTGTTTGTTTGTCCATTGTAGTACAACTTGTTCCCATCTGTGGTCACACTTACTAGGATCTGGTCCAAGATAATTATTTTACTTTTTGTGAAGCCGTTTTTTTTTGATAACATTAAAACTGTTGGAGAACACATGATGAGGGCCCAGCCAGTTTGGACCCTGATTTTATTTCTACAAGGTTCTAGAACTAGGTAATGCCAGACAGCATGCTGCTTAACTGGAACATTTTAGTGCAGTATCTGTTTTTCTGTGATCACCATGACTGGCTGACCTTAGGAATCATATAATTGGGAACAAAATAGTTCCTGATCCTAGCACATAAGCTAGCTAGCAGGCATTTTCTTTATTATAAGAACATTGGAAATTGTATTTTCTGCAAATAATCATTTTTTGTGTGCGTTTCCAACTATCAACTGTAATAAGGGCAGCACAGTGGCTAAATGGTTAGCACTTCTGCCTGGCAGTACTAGAGTCCTTGGTTCGGATCCCAGCCACGGCACAACCTGCCTGGAGTTTGCATGTTCTCCCTGTGCCTGTGTGGGTTTCCTCCGGGTACTCTGGTTTCCTCCCACACTCCAAAGACATGCTAGTAGGTTAATTGGATCCTGTCTAAATTGTCCCTAGTATGTGTATGTATGAATGTAAGTTAGGGACCTTGGATTGTACACCCCTTGAGGGTCAGGGACTGATGTGAATGTACAATATATATATATATATATATATATATATATATATATATATATATGTAAAGTGCTGCGTAAATTGACGGCGCTATATAAGTACCTGAAATAAATAAATAATAAGAATGTTTCATCCAAAAACAATGTTTTCCAATAAATGACTTTAATGATTACTAGATACATTTTTTGAAATTTAAGGCTTTATTGTGATTTTTGTTCATGTATATCAGAGTATTCCTCCACTGAGGACAAGCCAATCCAATGAAAGACTAAACCTGTTTATAAAGATCTAAATATATTTTGACATGAATTTTTTCATAAGAAATATATTTTAGCCAGCTTAATGTTTCTCTACAGCTGCGATGGAGATAATCCACAACCTTTTCTATATTTTAACAAAGGAAAAAAAATAATGAAGAAAATATGTTTAAATGTGGACTGCCATTTTGGATGGAAAATTTAGCTGATCGTTTACATAATCCTAAAAGGGAAATCCTACATTATTAATAATCTGTAACTTTAATAAATTGAGGAAAATGTTACTGGCAAATCAGAGGGAAAGGGGATTTTTGTAGTAGGTGATGATCAATCTTTATAAATGGACCTTTTAGGTTTTATGGCTTTGCCCTTGACTAAAAACCCTCTTATTCAGATTTTATTTGGTAATGGTGATCATCCTTTCAGCAGAAAGTCCCTTGATCTGCTTAGAAATTAATTCAGCCACAATCTTCTTTTCTCCAGCTTTCTTCGGAGCACAGACGATCTTGCATCGGAAGATTCCTCCAGGGCTGATGTCTCTGTTTACAGAGAGAATACATACATTTAGCTACAATTATTTTATAATGACATCTTCAGTTAGGCTACTTTCACACTGTTCTGTTGAAAAAAACGCGGTAAAAACACTATTGCATTTTTTTGCGTTATTCCCGCTTTTTACCATGTTTCCAGTGCGTTTTGCACCTGTGAAAAAACGTGATTCAAAAATCCACCAAAAATACAAACCTGTGTTTTCTGTTCATTTCAATGGGAAGGTGAGTTTTTGGTTTTCAATGGGAAGGTGAGTTTTTGGTGCGTTTTTTTTTACCGCATCAAAAATGCAGCAAGCAGGACCTACAACCAGTGTGAGGAGTTTCATAGGCGTTAACGGTGATGCGTTTTGCTTTTTTTTTTAATGCAAAAATGGAAGAAAAACAAATCAGAGTGAAAGCACCCTTAGAAGTACAGTTTGGTGGAGGGTGTGGAATATCACAGACTTTGGAAGATAATTTTTGTATTCTTTCTGATTTCAGCAGTAGTGTTTGCCAAGAGGTTTGCTTCTGGATAGAACAGCGCTACTGAAAATGGAGCACTACTGGCTACTGAAAATGGAGCACTACTGGCTACTGAAAATGGAGCACTACTGGCTACTGAAAATGGAGCGCTACTGGCTACTGAAAATGGAGCACTACAGGCTACTGAAAATGGAGCACTACCGGTTACTGAAAATGGAGCACTACCGGTTACTGAAAATGGAGCACTACCGGCTACTGAAAATAGAGCACTACCGGTTACTGAAAATGGAGCACTACTGGTTACTGAAAATGGAGCACTACTGGCTACTGAAAATGGAGCACTACTGGCTACTGAAAATGGAGCACTACTGGTTACTGAAAATGGAGCACTACTGGCTACTGAAAATGGAGAGACAGAGAGAAAAAACCCTCCAGTATTACTGAAGATATTGTGCACATTCTGCAGCATCATATTTAATATATTAGTATATTAGATCAGTATCGTACGTACTCCTGGCTGTGTCAGGGAAAGCAAAAGTAGTGAATATTCCTTCCATCTACCACCAATGACAGCACATCCAGCAGCAAGATGGGTGGGGACCACCTGGTATATGCCATTGTGGTTTGTCATTATAACTGTTATGCTTATATTTGTCCTGACCTAACAAGCCGGACCAGAAGTGGTCTACATACCCCAGAAACATCACTCTGGGTGGTAGGTGATAAACATAGGAGGCTCATTTACTATGTACTATACTGGACCCATTTTGATATTTACGTACCCATGCTCAAATTTCTCAAGTTTGAAGATGCCCAGTCCTTCCACATTCAGCTCACATTTCTCTAGAGGAATGCTCAGAGTATTCTTAAATGTAAAAGTACACATGAAATCTTCATCTATCTTGGCAGTTTCTGGCATCTGTAGAAAACAATGTTAGCAATATCAAATTCACTAACTTTCTGCACTGATAGATTATAAACATTTTCTATTAGCCAATATCATCTAAATCTTCAGTTTTAGTAAACTAGAAAAAGCACAAAATAAAAATACAAATACCGTGACAAATAAAAGCTGAGATTATTTTGCATACAAGCTTTAAAATACTACAGCCCTTTAAACCCATACAAGAAAAAAATTACCCCCTTGGGACTTTAATGCAGCCTAACGAAACATCACACATACACTATATTGCCAAAAATATTGGGACACCCCTCCAAATCATTGGATTTAGGTTTTGCAATCGCCTCCATGGCCACAGGTGCATAAAATCAAGCACCTAGGCATGCAGACTGCTTCTATAAACAATTGTGAAAGAATGGGTTGCCCTCAGGAGCTCACTGACTTCAAGCATGGTACCGTGATAGGTTGTCATCTGTGCAATAGTCCATCTGTGAAATTTCCTTGCTAATAAATAATCCACAGTCAACTGCTGAAGCGTACAGTGCACAGAAGTCGTCCACTGTCTGCAGAGTCAATGGCTAAAGACCTCCAAACTTCATGTGGCCTTCAGATTAGCACAACAAAAGTGCATAGAGAGCTTCATGGAATGGGTTTCCATGGCCGAGCAGCTACATCCAAGCCTTACATCACCAAGTGCAATGCAAAGCTTCAGATGCAGTGGTGTAAAGCACGCCACAACTGGACTCTAGAGCAGTGGAGACCTGTTCTCTGGAGTACCAATCATGCTTCTCTGCCTGGCAATCCGATGAATGTGTCTGGGTTTGGCAGTTGCCAGGAGAACAGTACTTGCCTTACTGCATTTTGCCAAACGTAAAGTTTGGTGGAGGGGGGGATTATGGTGTGGAGTTGTTTTTTTAAGTATTGGGTTTGGCCCCTTAGTTCCTGACCTCACAAATGTGCTTCTGGAAGAATGGTCAAACATTCCCTTAGACACACTCCTAAAGCTTGTGGACAACCTTCCCAGAAGAGTTGAAGCTGTTATACCTGCAAAGGGTGGGCCAACTCAATATTGAACCCTATGGCCTAAGACTGGGATGCCATTCAAGTTCATGTGCGTGTAAAGGCAGGTATCCCAATACTTTTGGCAATATAGTGTATATTGGTAAAAAAATTCTATGTACTTTATTAAACAAACATTTGTTAAAAAAGATTAATTACTCCTAAAATCGTATTAGTGGCTCTGATATACTGTTTTAATAATATAATCCCTTACAGGGTTACAACAATACAACATTCCCAAAAGCCCTGATGTGTTTCAATCATTCCAATTCAAGATCTTCTTCAGGGGGCATAGAAGCAGAAGGGATCTCTAAGCGGACACATTAGAAATTAGTGACAAATCATTATAATACCATCAATAACGATAAATAATTTGTCACTCATTTCTAATGTGTCCGTTTAGAGATCCCTTTTGCTTCTATGCTCCCTGAAGAAGAGCAGCAGACTAATCATGTCATCTCTCTGCTTTTTCCTTCTAGGATGTTCTTTATTAACCAGGGGCGGACTGACAACTCATGGGGCCCCCGGGCAATAGGGGATTATGGGGCCCCTGTGTCCTTGCCCAAACTCAAAAAAGCCTATGAAAAAGTTACCAGGGACATCTCATGGGGCCCCTACTGACACTGGGCCCTCGGGCAATGCCCGAGTTTCCAAATGGTCAGTCCGCCCCTGTTATTAACACATGTGCATGCAAGACACCTGATTGACTCCCAATGCTGCTGCTCCCTTTTCTGGTCTGCTTGCTGCTGTACTGGGCTCTACAAGAGGCTGTGCTCCTCCAAAATCTACCTATTTATACTAGCTCCATTTAAAACTGCACTTCATTATTTTAAATAGACAAATAACTATATTCATTGATGCTTTTAATATTTACCTGTAGGTAAATATAAGTGGAATTTGGGGTGCAAGGTGTATACCCAGGATTTGATTGAGAATTGCTAGCAAAGTACTGTATATTATACATTTAAAAAGGAGGACACCTATGTACAGTATATCTTCAGGCATTGAACAACTCACCTCTACTATGAGTGGTGGATAAGTGAATGGAATCATGAGACACTCATTGATTTTCTCATATTTGTCTTTTGTTTCCACCATGACATTGACTCTCATCATAAGCTCATCCTCTATTAATGTTACAGACTTCATGTACAGGTCAGCAGCCACGTTAAATGGGACTGATCCAGCTACAAATATTGTTTTCAGGTAAAGTAAGTACAAAGAAAAATATAGTGAACAAAACAGAAACTTGCAAACAGGAATGTTAAATGCATACACAGCAAATCAGCATTTAATCCACAATCAGCATATTGTATGGATATTATGAATACATGTGCAGTGTATATTATGGTGGGGTTTTGAAAAAAAATATCATGCTGGTCAATGGGCAACATGCTTAATGGTGGGTTGATTGATGAACACAGCTCAGCTGGCATTCCTGGTACTCCTGGCAGTAAACATGAATGAGCTAGCAGGCACAATCCTTTTAAGCTGCTAAATAAAACATTTACCGAACAGATTTGCATTTTTTTAAATTATATTTAATATATTTTTAAAATATAAATATTCTTTGTTTTGCAAAAAATAAATATTGAACGTATGACAAAAGATGTCCAGAGCACTAGGGGTTATCTAAAGACAGAGCATAGCAGAAGTTCTTAGTCTTGAGGCAAGCATGTTTACTTGCTTTACTAAAGAAGAGCTTGCTTGGTCATCATTCCTGGCTATATGATGTTCTACTGGTCACTCTGCTTTATATACACAAGTGTCTAATATGGGTTTATTAAGTAAGAATATTTGGACACTCTCAAACACAACAAACCCCAATTTAATATGATCATCATTCTAAATAGTGGTGGCCTATTTACATAGGAGTAAAAGTAGGAGGGGTAGCAGGGGATTGGGGTGCTGAGACCTGTCATCCTTAAGAGTCTAGAGCCCTTAGACATTTGCCTACTGTGCCTAAAGCCACATCCACCCCTGATGAAATATTATGGCAGATATCATCAAGAATACGTCTGCTAGAGGGTTCAGATACATATTTACAGTACCTTGCTTCCCTGCCACTTCCACAGTTTGGTTGATAGATGCCAAAGAGGCAATGACTTTGCCCGTATAGGTTTGCAATTGACTTCCAGCCGTGACAGTGATGGTCGTTGCCTCATCTGATTCATTTTCAACCACAATATTCAGACACAAAGTGTTCCCCGGCAGTAATTCCTTGTCTCCTGTGACCTGTAACTTAATGCCAGCCGGAGGAGGTGGAGGAGCGGCAAACACCATGCAGATGTCTGACTTTAGGTGGGTGCAGGCAGTTCCAAATGCTGCCCTCTCTTCGTCGGAACCTGAACAGCAAAGAAGATGTACTGTAAATACAGTTGGAGACAATGATAATAAAGTGTACCATACTTAAATTATATAATGGTTTGATAGGGTAACAGAGCAGCTCCTTATAATATAATGCCAAACCTGTCTATGAAATGGTGGCCTATGAGGACCAAGTAAGAATCCCTGGCAATCAAACCTCAGTTACATTCCTTTACAGACCTAAGGTCATCTATTTTTTAGTACTTCACTGTATACAATTTTTTAATCATATTATTTTGAGAATCTGTTGCAAAGTTTCTTACCTGGAGAACCTGCCAGTAACATTACTGCTCATTGCAGGCTGACTATAGTAGGCCTATGCCTCACAGTTAGCAGAAATATTGTGAGTCTTCCAGGTGCGCTATTGGTCTATCATCTTACTTAGCCGGATGCTGCTAATTTAGTGGTTTAGAACCCTTATCTGTTACTGGCAGGATATCTAGGTATGAAATTTTTGAACAGATTCACAAAAATTTTTAATTGTATACAGTGAAACACGATGCCAAACAGCGAAAAATATATTTAGGGGTTTAACTACATTTTAATGAATTGGACCCATTACATTAAAGGACAGTAATGAAGGACAAAAGCAAACTGGCGTACCCCTGGTAGAAATAAAAGGCTGGCCCCTTTCGCATGTATAGCCTATTTTTTTTTAAATTCCAGCAATACACTGTCTTAACCTGCTCTGCACATGCTCATTTGATTTCTAATTTTCGGCACTGTGCTGAAAATGTAGAGGCCAATCTGTTGACAGCCTAGACATTTGCTGCTGCTCAGGGGCTCCGGGCTTCAGTAAAATGGCAGCCTCTGGCACATGTTCATTTTGGTAGCATAATTATTAATATGGACTGTATGTTCTTTGCTTAAAAACATTATTTTTCATCAAGTTGTTATAGGTAAAGTTCCACTTTAAGGAAATAACTAGAAAACCATAGAAAGCTATCATCTGAAAAACATTTATTGTGATAGTTTGTACTGCACAAACAAGCAAATTGATGTGCAAATCTTTTGAAATTGTAGGTGTTAGTCAACAGGCATCTAATATTTATGGTAACCTCAAAGTATATGTCATCCTAAACGTTAAACTTAATAACTTTAAATAGAAATAATCTGCCCATCAAATCTTCCAACATGGAGGAAAAGACCCAACATATCCTATAACAGAACAGTCCATGTGAGGGAGCGACGGTCTACCTGGAGACTTAAAGGGGCCACCAGGAAGCACTACAGGTATACAGTATATATAAAACTTAGGTTGATTGAACTGTACTTGATCTGGATCTGATTATCAATAAGAGTTGTTTGCTAGACTGTATAAATGTGGAACATAAATAAGATATTATTCTTCTCTACAATGAACATATCACCCTTTGGGCAAAGGACATACCCTTGACATGCCCCTAATTATACAGATCATGAAACAGTACAGTGTATCTGTTGGTTTTGGATAAAGAGTGCTGTGGGTGTCCCCACTGATGAGATGCACCCTCTCTATTGGTGCTGAAGACAGTTGGATGGATCCCATGAAGGATGGATCTCATGAAGCCGCATATCTATGCAGACCCACTGGTATTGAAATGAATGGCAGTTGCAGCCTGGGAGCCAGGGCACCCGCCAGGTCAAACCCCAATGCTGCCCCTTGGAGCATAATCATGGGGATGGAGACACCCCCCCACATGGAGTCTCCATGCAAGGCCACACCCCCAATGCATTTCACTCTGCCCCTCAGAGCTTAATCATGGGGATGGAGACCCCCCCCCCTCCACATGGAGTCTCCATCCCCATGATTAAGCTCTGAGGGGTGGAGTGAAACACAATGGGAGTGTGGCCTTATGGGAGCCCAGGCTGAGACTGTCATTCCTTTCAATACTAGCAGGTCTGCATAGATGCACGGCTTTACAGGATCCATCCTTTGCTTGTTTGGAGCTGAGACAAGCTCCTTCCCTGGCCTGCACTCACAGTGGTGGACACAGGATTGCTTTCCCTTGTAGCCCGAGTGGCACTTATTTTCCATTATCAGTTCATACTGAAGACACTTGTCACTTTCCCATGAAGTAATGGGAAATTCAACATTTTACAACTGTCACTGAAACTGTCACTGGAACAGGATGTGACAAAAAGTCTTCTAATAGGGATAGTTGATGTGATGACAACTGCCTAGGAGGAGAACTGCCCTCATTTTGGAGAGATTTTCTCACTTCATACTTGTCTGGAAGAGGAAATTAGGGGAAATCCCTTAATGGAATTCAAAAAGTGAATTAAATGAAAGGTTACTGCAGTATAATGTGATGGTGGCTAAACAATACATATTTTTATGGATCTATACATCAAAGAGGAATAATAGGAACAAGAGGAAAAAGTGACAGTGGCATTTAGTTCCAGGAGAGGGAAAGTACACCGAAACTATTAACAGGAAGCTATGAATAAGTACTATTATTGCTATTGTAAGCTCATGTACATCTCCTAGATGAATATAAACTCATTTATTGTTTAATGTGTATAGAAACTGTTCAATAAACCATATTTAGAAATAAAGAACTGCGGCAGAGTTGCTCCAACCTGTTTTATTTCTAGGTAAGTGACGCAACTGACAACTTACAACAATAAAGAGCATGTATTCTTACCCTCCCTATGCTTGTATTGTGATGTAATATCTTCTTTAAAGTTCTTAGTAACCGCCTTAGTACTGATGAATTTCCCAATGCTCCTCTGCTCTTCCTTGATCTTGGTGAATTCCTCCTCACCATCTATGCAGGTCACCAGCCATTGAATCTTGTCTGCATTAACTTCAGCAAACAAAAATTTGCCATCAAAAGGCAGATACACAACTCCCTCTTTAATGGCCTTCAGAGAACAAGGACCACACTGGAAGACACCTACAAACAGAAAATGGACAAAATAGAAAGTATGTAGCATACAAGTAGAAAGGGAGATCACATTTCAGCAGACTTAAGCAGGCATTACCTTATCACGTCCTGACGAAGTCACGTGATAGCGTAACGCAATGCGTCGATGGCACAGCGTGGTGACGTAATTCCGGCGTGACGCACTTCCGGTGCGTCGCCATCTTTGTATACCCTGTTTCATCTCAATACACCCACACTCATGGGTAATGCCTGCTTAAGTCTGCTGAAATGTGAGTGCATTATGTTTTAGCCTATTTTATTATTCAATAAAGCGGTTTTACACTATAGAGGATGTGTTCTTCTGTTGTATGGGCCATTTGAATTGATCTGCTTGCAAGTATCCATCTGCCTGCCTATCCATTTGACCCAGAGGGGTTTCCTAGTGAAGATACGGTACATCAAAGGGTCCTTTGCAGCCCAGGTATCAGACCATCAGGAGTACTCATACAAGAAGGATCCAGGAGGGATCCGCAAGGCTTTGTAGTCCCTAGGGGTCGCTGAGTGGAGGTGAGAGGCCATTGCAGCTATTCTTGGGAGCACCAACCGCTGTGTTGTGCATTCACAGTGTGCGTTTTGCATGATCAAGAAGATTGGAGCACCGCTGTTGTCTTCACATTTGTTGGACTTTGCTACACTATTGCTGTTTATATGGTCTATATGTGTTTTATGAGCACTTAATGTGTCTTTATCCCTCCACAGGGATTCATATGTTCATAGGTTTGAGTCCCAGCTGTGGGTACTAAGAGTCACTTGATTTAAATCCCTTATTGGGAGTGGGTTCACTATTTACAGGTCATGTATCAGGTCCTTCTGACCTTGTGTGTTTTTTGAGCACCCATTGTCACACATTTGTATTATGATATTTGTATTATGGTATATGCTATCTAGCGCTACACCACTTTGTATTTAATACAAGCACAAAAATGTTTTCGTGTATGATACCAGATCATATAATTTTCCTTTAATCAGTACAGTTTTTGTCCGAAACACAATACATTATATCACTTTCAAATTTTTATTCTGTTGTTCAAGAATTTTCATAAATTTAATAACCTCTTCACTTTCGATATGAGGCTAGCATGCAAAAAAAAAAAACAAAACAGGTGATCATTCATTCATGTGTATGGGGCCTTAGGTTTTGTGAGCTTGTCACTCTTGGAGCAATAGATGTTCTAAGGCTAGAAATGTCCTCTTGGTCAGGGTGTTGATTGATTTCTGTTCTTAATAATGTTGCAACAGCAGTAAAACTTTGTCTGTGGTCTCAGTTTCTCAGGTTGCAAATTTTCAAACTGTCATGATCTATGGCATGACTATTTCAAGCTATTCACCTACCATAATGCAGAAATAAAACATAGGCAATAGGATAGAGGCTTTCATCTTGGCCACTCAAAAAAATGACCATTGGTTGCTTGTCATTCTACACCTTACCTTGACTTTTCTCTGTGTGGGGTGGCATCAATTGCCTGCCAGCCATCATATCCATTAGGTAGGTCAGGTCTTTTCATCCACACGTCATTCCACACATGAAAGTTCCTAAAGTAATATGGAAAATAGCCAAGACAATACCATGGATTTAACAAAACATATTATTTAAACCTTAGTCATGAACAGCAATACCCCATAGAAATGCCCTTATAACAAAGGACTTTATGAACAGTACTTGTAGAAAGTCCTTACTGCTAACCAAAAATTCTCTTTCTTTCACTTTTAGAAAGTTGAAAAGAAGAAAACTGAAGAGTCCAAGCCTGAACTCCAAGCATAGAGCTAAATATACAGCTGCCTATATGGAGCTGTTTTACTTGCCAAACTAATTGTTTTTGTATATGCTGGATTGCAAAAAGAAACCACTAGTTCACATTGAAGTACTAGATACATTTTAAATACTTTGAATTATGTTTAATACATTAATACCTGCAATCACTGTTTTATAACTAGGAATTCAGTTTAAAGGTAAGAAGGATATTTCTATCCAAGATCATTTTCAACACCAGGCTCATTCTGATTATTTTGCAGCAATAACTGTATTATTGTAATTAAGGAAATGGACCAGCTTTTTCCCACTGGCCTAAGATTAGTTATATGTTCCGCTAAGGCTTCTTTCATGCTGGCAGCAGCACTTACTGCAATCTGAAGATCAATCTGCAGTGGATAGCTTTTCAAAGGATGGTATTGTAGTGGTTGGCAGGCATTCAGGGTTTTTTTTTTTCCTTTTGAAATTTTCCTTTTTTTTTCAATCCCAAAGGGAGCTTTTTAGTAAAAAAAAATCTCACTGCAGCCATGAGATGAACATCTGTCCAACAATTGCTGTGCACTCCAAATGAATGTAATGGGCAAGCTGCTGCTTGTCAAACCCTGCAGCTGGAATGAGAAATGCTGCTGCTTTAAAGTGAAGCATCTCGGCCATGGCATACGTATATCCTTGTCAGGCCCTAATGTTAGAATTTGGGTGGGCAGCTGGGGTTGGTAAAACCACAACTTAGCCCATGTCTTTACCATCCCCCAGCCGCCTGTGTGAAAGAGCCCTAAGTAAATTAGTACCAATTAACTAGTAGAAATACAATGTACATCAATTCAAACTTTTAGTTCCAACACATCCATAGTTATGCTTTTATTTAGTACAAAATTGTTTGCACAAAGCAGTAGTACATCAGTCAACAGTTATTAAAAAAATAAATAAATGATATGTAAAATAAAATGCAATCTCAGTTAAGACCTGTTTTGGTTAAGATTCTCAGGGAAGAGATCACCTACCATACAGAATCACTTGAAATATCGTCTACTGTTTCTCCTTGTTCATTCTGGTAATAATCAATTTTCAGATTTTCTTCAGTGTCATGAGCTGAATTAAAATTAGTGACACTTCTTGCCGGGATTCCTAAGCTTCGCATAACTAGAGAAGGGAACAACATTTTAATAAAGATGTAGAGTGCAATTGTAAAGACCATATACACTAATATATTTTGATTGAACTTTGATCTGTTAGAGCAACTAAATCTACCAACAATTGTGTATGGTAAGGGTAGTCGTAGTCAGAAGGTGGCATCCTAAAAATGGCCTTGATGGCTGTTGATTACATGTCTGTGGGTAATTCCCAAACTTGTTGGTCAGCTTCACAGGTAACTAGCAATCGGGCAGGTTGCCTTCTCTTAACACTAGGGGCGGACTGACAATTTGGAAACTCGGGCGCTGCCCGAGGGCCCGGGGCCAGTAGGGGGCCCCATGAGCTGCCCCTGGTACCTTTTTCATAGGTTTTTTTGAGTTTGGGCAAGGACAAAGGGGCCCCATGAGTTGTCAGTCCGCCCCTGCTTAACACATTACCTTCTCTTAGTGCATTGGGTGGACACAACCCATGAGGGATAATTCACACTATGTCCATTAAGTAGATTTTTTTGCACAACACTGCAAGTGGTGTGAACATGACACACAGAAAACTATTGTTTACACTATACATGTGTGGTGGTGTGCAGAAAAATGCAGCTTACTAGATAGGGAGGTGAACAACATGAGGATGAATTGGCTGAGGAATGATCATTTAAACAGGACACACACTAGTAACATTTCATTGAAAATGTTTGGTCTTAGGAACATTTGATTTTTTTAATCGGTAGTGGAGTCAAAACTACATTAATTTTCAGTTCACGGTGGGATGGAGAATTTTTCTCGAATCACTGAATGTGGTTTTCATTCAGGAATGTCAATTTGTTCTAAAAATCCAATGTTAAAGCAAATGAAATTTTACGTACTTTTGAACAACATTTATCAAGGCATCAAATGTGCCGAGAATGAACATTTGTCTGATAATCTACAGTATCAGTGCATGGGCAGGTTTAGCTTCTTACTAGCAGCTTACTACTGGAAAAATTCAAACTAGAGCTGTCCACTATGTTCAGTGAATTGTTTTGTATGTCTATTGAATGATATGTTATGACTTATACAGTAATGTATTCTGAGATCTAGATTTTTAATACAATCTGTTAAACAATGCCCTATATGTTCTTTTTCTCAAAGAAATATGTTAACTTTTTGACCATACATACCTGTATATAGTATATGTGTGTGTATATGTATATATATATATATATATATATACACATGGTCTTCAAAAAGTTTCCGCACTTTTATATATATAATAGAGTTTAAAAAAGTGAGGAAATGGGGGGAGTCGTCTGACTATGGAGGAGTGAGGACGCGCGGCTCTGCAGCTTTACCGACAGCTAAGGGTGATCCCTCCGCACTGTCCCAGTGCTGGCAGGTGTCTTCCCAGCCACACAGATCTGGCAACACTGGTCAGGAACCACTGGAATCCTTCTTGCCAGAGAGCGGAGGTCTCAGAGCGGGAAATCCAAGATGGTGCTGGACTGCACAGCCTCACATCACCACGAGGCATGGTCTCACCAGCCTACAGTGTCTCTCATACCATCTCCCCGGTGGTGAATGACTCTGCCCCCCCCGGCTTCCCCACTGCTTAACTGCTTCTTAAGACTAGGGCTCCGACCTTGCTGAACTCTGCGGGGATAGAGACATTAGACAACATCTATGGTCTCTACCTACCAATGAAGACTTAGAGCACTTCACTAGCCGGGTAGAACAAGCTTTTCAACAGGACACAGAACAACTTAAAACCACAAAACTGGGGAACAGTCTTGACACGCTTGAACAGAAATTTGATGAGGCCCTGCCTGCTATCTCTCAGTTGAAGGACCAATGCTCGGCCCAAGACCAGAGGATTGGGGCCCTCCTCTGTCAGCTAGACGATTTTGAAAACTGCAGTAGGCAGGCGAATTCACATACATGGCTTGCCTGAAGCTACAGCTCCTAAGAATCTTGTCCCCACTCTATGTGGCATATTCTGCCAAATACTAGAGCTCCCTGCCACTACATCCATCGAGACTGACAGCGCTCACAGAGCGCAGCGGCCCCACTCTGAGGATTCAGAGAACCCTAGGGACATTATCTGTAAGCTCCACAAATACACTCTTAAGGACCGCATCATGCAAAAAATGCATAACAGACAATTCTTTGACTTTGATGTGTCCACCTTCTCTTTTATCAAGATCTTTCAAGGCACACCCTCATGCAGTGCAGGGCCTTACGCCTCCTAGTGGCTGCGATCCAAGACACAGGTCTCACATATTGATGGGGCTTTCCGTTCAGCCTACAGGTCACCATAAATGGCCGGCCGGTTATCTTGTGCACCAAAGATTACTTACCACACTTCCTAAAAGACCTAGAGTTGGAACCTGTGGACTTTCTGGACTGGCGTTCCTCTCAGGAGATCCCTGTTCCACCTTTATCACAACTGTGGCTCTCTGGAAGAGGAAAGGGCTGATCCTGTGGCTGCAAACAACTCTCCTCTGGTTCCTCCCCTGGGGCCTCAATGACCTGAGCTTGGAAGAGTACTGTGGCCTCTTTTTATCGTCATCCTTGGAGACTCTCGCTATCCCCACTTTGTGGTCCTGAGTCACCCAGGCACCTTTGGACTGATGCCTTAAGTTTTGTGGGGCTGGGTGATTGTCTTTTTGGCTCCATGCCAGACTTCTACCCAGGTACCCTCCCCGTAGGCCCTATTGAAGGGCACCAGGCAAGTGTTTGGAGACTTTTCCCTTGTGGAGTTACACCCTAGGCCTGATCTGGTGTAGTTAACGACCATATCTGGTGACCCTTATCCATCCTTTGTAAGCTGACGTTACTTAGTCTGTGCTTAATCATTCTTTACTTAATTATTTCCCCTTTTTCTCTAGGATGCACCTGAGCCGCCTCGCCCTCACCTGATCTCTTGGAGCTGCTCAGCTGCTTGACTGCTTCTTCTATGCTGTATGACTTGACTTAAGGTACTCACTTGCAATGTGAGGGTATCTGCTCTCCCCACAAATGTAACAAGCTGTGGTTGGAATTGTAAAGATGGGGGCCCATGTGCTTTTCTTACAAGAAATGCACTCTACGCAAAAATCCCTCCCCAATTTGCCCACGCACCTTTATGCTCAATGGTATCTTAGCAACCATCCCATTGCAAAGTCTCGGCGTACGGCGATTCCTACACATAAATCCTGCCCATTTCAACTTAAGGATAGCTCTGTGAACCTGCAGGGCCACTATGCTTTGGTGAAAGGCTTAATTGCCAGTCAGTTGTTTACATTTGCAATGCTTTAAGCAGCTAACAGCCACCAACTCACTTTCTTGGATGCAGTCCTGGAAAGGATGGCAGACTTCAGAGAGAGCCTTTTAGTTTAAGTGGGTGATTTTAATGTTAGTCCTGACTCCCTCATTGCTACATCCCACCGCCGACCCATACATTGCTATGCTTTTCTTAAGCACTTTCGTAAGGCACTTCAGACTCACTTGCTGGTGGACAGCTGGAGGGCTCTCCATGCCTCAGACAGGGATTTTAGCGATTTCTTAACTTGTATGATGTGTATACTCACATAGATCTCTTATATGTGGACCATGGCAGTTTAGAGCTGCTGCAGGCAGCTGAGATTGGAAACATTACACTTTCTGATCATGCATCTGTTTCTGCAATGCTCAACTTGCCTCATGGCATCCCGAAGTCTTGGCGGTTGAATAAAAACCTGCTAGATGATGGTTACTGACACTATTACACATTATTTTAGGGGAAATAGGGGACAGTGTGGGAGGGTCATAAGGTGGTGGTTGATGGAGATTTGATTTCTTTGGGGTCTGAATTTAAAAAGGAACATCAGGCAGATTTCCAATGGGTGTTGACCGCATTGCAACAGGCAGAGCTTCAACATAAGCATCACGGTACTCCTGAGGCTCTTCCACGTCTGCACGACCTCAGGGAGTTGCTCTCTCACCTACTGGACTGGCGCATCTGTAGACAGCTATGTTACCTGTCCCACAAATATTATGAACATGGTAACAAATGTGTTTGAATGCTGGTCAGAACTCTCAGGAAGCGGCAAGCCCATATTCACGTGCATAAACTTCTGACCACCTCTGGAGATGCAACTTTTCATTCTTCTAAGATAGCCTCCCTGTTTCGTGATTATTATGAGAAGCTCTATAACTTAGATGGCAACCTTTCCCCCAGCGCTAGGACCTCTAAGGTACAAGCTATTAGCACTTAGCTGACATCTGCTGGCCTCCGCTCCTTGACTCCAGAGCAACAGGTGGATCTTGAATCCTTGATTTCTCCTTTAGAAGTTGAAGCTATGGTAAAATTGCTTCCTGGCGGGAAGAGCCCTGGCCCGGATGGCTATACTAAGGTGTATTACATTAATTTTCTTCTACTTCTACTAGGCCCTTTATGCAGGTACTTGCATTCTTTAGCCAATGGTGGCCCTATTCCCCTGGAGGCTCTGTTAGCCCACATGACCGTGCTTCCTAAAGAGGGAAAAGATCCTGCTTTGCCACAAAGCTACTACCCAATATAATTGCTCAACGTAGATGTCAAACGTTTTGTGAAGATTTTGGCAAAACGATTTAAGTGCCTCCTACCATCCATGATACACCCTGATCAGACAGGATTTATATACAGTAGGGAAGAGATAACTTTATCAGAGCTGTGCAGCTTATCCAGTGGGCTTGTTCCCTCCAGGACCTGGTTCCCTACCTTATTTTGTCCACAGATGCTGAGAAAGTGTTCAGTCACATTGATTGGTCTTATCTCAAGGCTGTGCTGGAGAAGCTGGGTCTGGGACCATGAATGTTGCAATGGCTCTATACACAACTCCTACTGCGCAGGTTAAAGTTAATGACCTCTTCTCTTCATGATTTCCCATATGGAATGGCATGAGACAGGAGTGTCCATTTTCAACCCTTCTTTTTT